TTTTTTTTTAATAACAACCAGTGTCTTCGTGCATGGTGAAAGTAAGCCAGTTAGTTATCAATGCCTTCTTCCGTACCCCAGTTTGATAGTGCATAGCTTTGCGGGAGCACATGCGTCATTACTGCCCGGTCTCCCGTGTTCCACTCCCTGTCTTGTTCGGGGATAGACACTCGTTCCTATGCGCTGATAGATAGTATTTCCTGCAGGTTTTGGGATAGTCGATCACATCACTCGTTCCTATGCGCTGATAGATAGTATTTCCTGCAGGTTTTGGGATAGTCGATCACATCCCCCGAGCTGGCTTCTTAGTTGTTTATCCGTTTTCCAGTTCTTCAAGTTGTCATCCCGGATGTGTTTGATTTGCCATATGCCTTTTTTTAAGTTTTTTTCCAGCCATGCGCCCCATTTTGTGTCTTTCCTGGACGGGGTTATAGGGCTTCCTTCTTCCTTTGCTATCCACGGGTTGCAAAACAGTGGTTGTAACTTGTAAGAGTATTTCGGACTATTTCCTCTTTATTTTGCGGTTTCCTAACCTTGGCCGGGAAGATTCTCCCCATGCCTTAAGAATCATTTTCCAGCATCCCATGCAGGCTATGTAACCGTTTAGCGAGCGACCTTACGCGCACGCTCAACCCCCCCCCCCGTCACGCGCGCAAGAGCGCTCAATCCCGTTTCGGGCACGCACACGGCCCAAAAGATGAGCGCTCGCACCTGGCGGGGGCCCGCACGTGGAGGGGAACACTTGGGGGCTGTTGCGCATTAAAAAGAAAAATTGGAAGGGGGGGTGGTTTTCGGGGGGGTTGGGCGAGGCCGGGCGCTTTCAACAGACTGCTTCAACGCCCTCACGGAGGGCATAGGGCATACTCATACTACTACCTTTGGGGATGTATCTGTCTGCTTGCCCATCCACAGCTGAGATTCGATCCCCCCCCCCCCCTTCTTTCCTCAATCTGACTGTGCGGCTGTAATGCCCTCACTGAGGGCATACTCACACAAGTACTTCTGCGAACGTATCCAAATGCTATCGCGTCCAAAGCGTTGTTTCTTTTTTTTTTTCTTCTTGATATTTTTTGTATGCAACTGCCGTGATGAAATCAGTTTTCTTGAGAGTAGCACAAAAGAGAATACGATGGGACCCAGGCTCAGCAAAACTCCACGCGCAGTGAAATTCAGGTTCAGCAAAAACAGGCTCCGAGGTCGTGGGGGTTTAATAGAAACAATCAATTTTCAATTTCACATGAAACCCACAAATATACACTAGTCCAGGGACTCCAGGATTTGGCAGGATACAGATTATCACTCAAATGCAATTCTTAAATTGTTCTGCATGTTGACAGCCCGGGTGGAAAATAGGAGATCGGCAACCAAGGAAGGGTAATCACTGATCAGTACTAGTCACCAATTACTGGCAATTAATTGAAGGAAGGTTACATATCCAGAAGAAAAAGGTCTCCTATGGTTGATGCAAAATATGTAGGTCCGTAGTTGATGCGAAAGTTAAAAGGACAGTGTTCACATATATACATAATGTACACAAGTACAAACTCACGCAAGGCTTCAATTATAGCATGCAAAAACACAAAGTAATAATCTGGGTAGCACCCCGTACGCGTACGCATTCCGGCGTACGCGTACGAACCCAAAATCGCGCGTACGCGTACGTAAAAAAAAAAAAAAAAAAAAAAAAAAAAAATAAAAAAAATCTGAAAAAAGTATGTTGTGCAGAATAATGATACAAACAACATTTGCCTGGGAGTCATACCCGAATTCCAAATCAAGCTCGATTTAAAAATAAAAAACCTTAACAAATAAAAAATATATATATTTAAATAGTTTTTTAATTATTATGATCAGAGTTACCGGCGTTCGGGACGGGCCAAACGCCCGAACGTACGGGACCCCTTCGGAAGGCGTTCGGCCGTTCGTTTTCAAAAAATTCCTAAAAAAACATATGTTATGGAGAAAAATAAACTAAACAACATTTGCCTGGGCAATACATCCAAATTCTTTACCAAATTTGAATTAGAAATCAAATACAGAAAATAAACACTATGATAACAATAAGAAAAAATAAAAAGAGAATTAAGAAGAGTGAGTGTGCCAGCACCTTTTCGACACCGCCATCTTTACCGATTTTTAATTATTTTTCGGCATTGACAAATGCCCTGAAGATTTACAGGTATGTAGTTTAAATAATCAATAACTCATTATAAAAGTTTCAAAAAATAATAATTTTGTTTAGGCCCCCGAAATAAAGTGAAAACAAAAAGTTAAAAGTGAAAAAAAAACAAAATAGTGACTGGGAAAACGTTTTGACACCCCCATCTTTGCCGATTTTTAATGTTTTTTTGGCTTATTAGAATGGCTTCAAAATTTATAGGCGTGTAGGTTGCATCATAGAGAACTCACAAAAAAAAATTCAGAAAAAAAAACTTATTTTTAGGCCCCGAAACATTTTTTGGCGGGGGCCGAACCCGGAGGTGTTCGGCCCCCGAACAGGACCCCGAACGCCCGAACGTTCGGGGGCCAGCCCGGGGGCCCCCGAACGTTCGGTCAGGTAACCCTGATTATGATAATATTACCTTTTTTCTGGTTTTTTATTTCTTACTCGAGTTTGGTTGGGAATTCAGGGATGAATCCCAGGCAAAAGTTGTTTGTATCATGTTTCTTCATAACATATATTTGTTATAGAAGTTTGTTTTTATTTTTGTGTGTTTTCTTCCTAGGTTTTTTTTTATTATTTCAATTTATTTGTTTTCTGTGCCTTTGATTTTTAACTCGAGTTTGGTACAGAATTTCGAGATAAGTCTCAGGCAAAAGTTGTTTGAAATATCATTATGCATAACATACTTTTTTTCAGATTTTTTCGATGACGTTTTTTTTTTTTTTTTT